AGTTAAAACATACAATGGCAATACAAGAAATTCACATAATTTTTCTACCCACGGATTGAACAGAAATTGCGATTCCATGGAATTATGACTAAATGGAAAAAAGTACATTTACAGTAAATGTTATATTTGACAGTAACACAATGGCATTCCAAATATCCACTGGAAAACCATTTCCACAAACTTAAGGTAAAATCAATTCTAAACGCAGATATGAGCAGTCTTAATGGAAATTCCTCAACTTAAAAATCCCGACCAATCCCCTCCTCAGGAAAGAAGTAGCAAGCTCAGTAATAAATCCAATTAAACAGCACAGAGAATGATCGGTGTCTTATCATGGTAAATTTCATCCATTCAATTTTGCTCTATTTTTATTGTACATTCCTAGAGATTTTTATTAATTAAAAAAAAATACTAGTATTGCATTAGCCAATCAATTAAAAGCTGCTTTAGTTGTAAAACTTTTTTGATCTTCATGATCATCAAAGGAATACAATCCACTATAAATACTAAAATCTTTTGGAATTTTGTGTAATTTTCTACCCACATATTGAACAGAAATTGTGAAAATGAACTAAATAAACTCAGTATATACACCTTTATATAATACGATTTTCTGAAAGTCCAAAAAACATTTTTTATTAGTGTACAGAGTGTCCTTAAGAAAGTAATTTAATGTGCCTGCATCAATTTTACCCTGTCCTGTAAGACTGACCCTTTATTTTGGTATGAAAATGTTATATGATTACATCAAATTTTAACAAATCTTTTCTGTATCTGTATTTCCATCATCTTTTTTCTGTATAACTGATGCCCTTACAATCCCTATATTCTACTGTAAACAAAACATGGTGAGAAAAAAATGGCAGCATTAATGACATCACAAGCATTTAGATCTTGTTATCAAATCCTCAAAAGACATTAAACAGTCAGTCAACATTGATTTTTCAAATCAAGTAAACATTATAATATATAGTTTTAGTTTACTACCACACACGCTGAATCTTTATAAAGCTGTATTTATACTACCAATGTTTCAAACAAAGATCATTGAAAATGGAGGACGATAATAGAGAGTTAATGAATGTTGACTACATCATTCCTTGTCAGAAACACAAGGACTTTCTGTCAACCATTAACAGGATTAAAAATCCATCATCTTTTCTCACTGAGACAGCCAATCTGCGAGTAACTACGTATTGTTCTAGAGATCTTGTAGTGGGGGTGTTTTATATCTGTAACCACAGAAAAAGTGGGAGGAGGGGGAGGGTGTTTTCTGTTGCTAACCACAGATAGTGGGAGGTGCTGGGGGGATTAGGTTTTTCATTATATTTCTCATTTATAATCTTAAAACATAACTGAACTACAGTATAGTTTAAAGTCCTCTTTTATCTTACTACTATAGTCATCTTTTATCTTACTGCTTTAGCCATCTTTTATCTCACTGCAATAGTCATCTTTTATCTCACTGCTATAGTCATCTTTTATCTCACTGCTATAGTCATCTTTTATTATACTTCTGTTAAAATGTTTCCTATATAAAGTTAAGAAGGTAAAATAACTATCTTTTATAGTCTGGAAATTTCCACGCAAAGCAAAGCTATACCCCTGGGTATAGTTTTTGCTACCCACCCCTCGGAAAATTTTCATACAATTTTTGACGCCAATTTTATTTCCTGCGATAAATCTATACACTGATGAGGTCATCTTTACTTCAGGAGCATTGTGACGTCATCGGAATTTCAGCTTATTCTTGCAGTGTTATCTTACTTCAAATTACTTCCTCAAAAGTTTTATAATTATTCTTTTGACGTTTTCATGTTTTGTCTACAACCCTTAGAAATTATAATATACATCAGTATAATAAACCGCTTATCCACTGGTTGTAAGTGGGATAGCTCTTCATCAAACCCTTGACAGGAACTATTCCCCTCGGACAAGCCCTCGGGGAAAAGTTTCTGTCGCGGGTTTGATAAAAGAGCTATCCCACTCACAGCCAGTGGATAAGTGTATATTATCACAGTGCTATAATCATCTTTTATCTCACTGCTATAGTCATCTTTTATTTCACTGCTATAGTCATCTTTTATCTCACTGCTCTAGTCATCTTTTATCTTACAGCTACATGTATAATAGTCATCTTTTATCACACTGCTATAGTCATCTTTTATCTCAATGCTATAGTCATCTTTTATGTCACTGCTATAGTCATCTTTTATCTTACTGCTACAGTCATCTTTTACCTTACTGCTACATGTATAATAGTAATCTTTTATCACACTGCTATAATCATCTTTTATCTCACTGCTATAGTCATCTTTTATTTCACAACTATAGTCAACTTTTATCTTACTGCTAAATCTGACTGCTATAGTCATCTTTTATCTCATTACTATAGTCATCTTTTATCACACTGCTATAATCATGTTTTATCTCACTGCTATAGTCATCTTTTATCTTACTGCTACAGTCATCTTTTACCTTACTGCTACAGTCATCTTTTATCTTACTGCTACATGTATAATAGTAATCTTTTATCACACTGCTATAGTCATCTTTTATCTTACTGCTCTAGTCATCTTTTATCTAACTGCTACAGTCATCTTTTATCTTACTGCTACATGTATAATAGTCATCTTTTATCACACTGCTATAGTCATCTTTTATCTTACTGCTACATGTATAATAGTCATCTTTTATCACACTGCTATAATCATCTTTTATCTTACTGTTATACTCATCTTTTATCTCACTGCTATAGTCATCTTTTATCTTACTGCTATAGTCATCTTTTATCTTACTGCTACATGTATAATAGTCATCTTTTATCACACTGCTATAGTCATCTTTTATCTTACTGCTCTAGTCATCTTTTATCTTACTGCTACAGTCATCTTTTATCTTACTGCTACATGTATAATAGTAATCTTTTATCACACTGCTATAGTCATCTTTTATCTTACTGCTCTAGTCATCTTTTATCTAACTGCTACAGTCATCTTTTATCTTACTGCTACATGTATAATAGTCATCTTTTATCACACTGCTATAGTCATCTTTTATCTTACTGCTACATGTATAATAGTCATCTTTTATCACACTGCTATAATCATCTTTTATCTTACTGTTATACTCATCTTTTATCTCACTGCTATAGTCATCTTTTATCTTACTGCTATAGTCATCTTTTATCTTACTGCTACATGTATAATAGTCATCTTTTATCACACTGCTATAGTCATCTTTTATCTTACTGCTCTAGTCATCTTTTATCTTACTGCTACAGTCATCTTTTATCTTACTGCTACATGTATAATAGTCATCTTTTATCACACTGCTATAGCCATCTTTTATCTTACTGCTACATGTAATTGTATAATAGTCATCTTTTATCACACTGCTATACTCATCTTTTATCTTACTGTTATACTCATCTTTTATCTCACTGCTATAGTCATCTTTTATCTCACTGCTAGAGTCATTTTTTATCTTACTGCTATAGTCATTTTTTATCTCACTGCTATAATCATCTTTTATCTTACTGCTATAGTCTTCTATTTTCTCAATGCTATAGTCATCTTTTATCTTACTGCTATAGTCATCTTTTATCTTACTGCTATAGTCTAGTCATCTTTTATCTTACTGCTATAGTCATCTTTTATATTACTGCTATAGTAATCTTTTATCTCACTGTTATAGTCATCTTTTATCTCACTGCTTTAGTCATCTTTTATCTCACTGCTATGGTCATCTTTTATCTCACTTCTATGGTCATCTTTAATCTTACTGCTACAGTCATCTTTTATCTTACTGCTACATGTATACTAGTCATCTTTTATCACACTGCTATAGTCCTCTTTTATTTCACTGACATATTCATCTTTTATCCTACTGCTATAGTCATCTTTTATCTTACTGTTATACTCATCTTTTATTTCACTGCTATAGTCATCTTTTATCTCACTGATATAGTCATCTTTTATCTCACTGCTATAGTCATCTTTTATCTTACTGTTATACTCATCTTTTATCTCACTGCTATAGTCATCTTTTATCTCACTGCTATAGTCTTCTTTTATCTCACTGCTATAGTCATTTTTTATCTCACTGCTATAGTCATTTTTTATCTCACTGATATAGTCATCTTTTATCTCACTGCTACAGTCATCTTTTATCTTACTGTTATAGTCATCTTTTATCTCACTGCTATAATCCTCTTTTGGAAGCTAGTAAAATGCATATCACTGATACCAATATAAATGTAGATTAGAAAAAATGTCAAAAGAATATGCTTTGAATGCAGTATATGGGTTGACATCTGAAGTATACATTTTGATATACTGGTATATGTCTCTCATATTAAAAGTAAACATGATATCTTTATCACATTTCAGAACATTCTCAAGTAACCTGATAATGTTCTGACAATTTATAACCTATTCTTCTATTCAGCTTCCCATTTTGAATTTTTTTTTCACACGTTCTAAGACAGTGTTTATACACACATATGGACAATGCTTGATCTATTAGGAATATTTTTGTAAATAAATAAATGCAGCAGGCAGGGTTGTCCCTAAGAACTGAAGTAGACGGGGACATTAAAAAAGTAGAAGGGGGTTTGTGGTTTCTCCCTTAACAGAAGATTGAGGGGGAATACCAAAATAACTGGGGAATTATGTAATTATAGGCAGGGAAATTCCCCGGTCCCCGGGTCTTAGGGACAACCCTGAGCAGGTGAAAAGACTCATTCAATGGATAGTTGGTTAATTACCAATTACATGTATAATGTATCAATCAGACCATTTTAAAGTATTAATCTACCAAATGGACAACACAAACATATATCCCAGCTTCATTTTTTTTTTACAGTTGTCAGAAATGAAAAAGTAAATTGCCTTTTGCACTGACTACATGTATATCTATCCAACCTGAGTATACAGTTCCTAAACATTACCCACAGTAGAAATTTATAAACCTTATTTTTCCAGACATCTGATACTTACTTCTCTTCTGTGAGGAAGCCTGCAGTATGGCCGTTACAAGATCCGAGTTGTGTTGGAGTTTAGCGACCCTCCGATCTCGCCTCTTCAGTTGCCGGACTAATCGAGATGACACAAAGTTAATCCGATGTTGTAATTCCTCTACTGTCTTCTTCAACTGATCAACACCTACAAAAGGTTTGAAATCATATAATTTTCTATATGTACTTATACTTTATGTGTTTTAACTGAGAAATACCTTTAAAAATTCTACCATTTTCTGCAAGTAGTAAATGCACCTAATTATAGACATACATGTATAATTCAAAAGTAAAGAAATAAAAACTAGCAGTTATGTCATAACATGAACAAAAGAGTACGCCTAAAAGCTTACACTGAAACTCTTCTGCACTGCTACAATTGAACAATAACTGCAGATCTTTTCATAAGTTATAAAAGTAAATGTAAATGTGACAAATTGTTTATAAGTTTTAATAGTCAGCCCTCTTGACTGAAAATAACACTGCTAACTTCGAAACCAATACTTGCTCAGTACCATGATAGAGTCTGCTTCAATCAGCTGATTCTGGTCTCTTAGAGAAAGAAAGATAACTCTAACCAGTGATCATGAAAATCGACTCTAAATTCTTTTCATCTCTCAACTTCATATAATCGTTTTAAGTAAATATTTAAAATATTTTCTCACTCATTATTTAATTCTTAGTGTAAGCTTCGTTTTCTAAACAAACAATGGATACATGATTTTTTACTTGTAGGGGACTAATAATCATAGTACGTGTAATAGCAGCTAGTATTGTAAAAATATGTCGAATGAAATTCTGATCATCAATTACTTTAGTTTTAGTAGACTTACTACAATAACAAATTAATATCAGCAATATTTTCCAAATGACATAATTATACAGGTATTAACCTCGTGACTGAGAAGTATAGAGTGTGACTTAAGTTGATATAAATTAACACAGAATATAACCTAAGCTGTAGTTGTAAAACCCTGCCAGTCTGATGTATTTACATTCACTGCTATGCTGTTTCTAACAGATGTTGCAATGTTTTATTAAGTTTTATTAGTTTGCAATGCAATAAACTGTCAAAAGAAATCAATATGTCCTTAATATTAGAGCATCTTGTATGTTTCCCCTTTCTCTATCCTTAACCATTTGAAGATTTTTATTTTTTTAAAATTTCATAATCAAACAAGTTTTCACATTTTTTTAGATGATTATAAATTTTTCACCTATATAGTAAATATGGCATAACATTTAAACATATTTTTTTAGAAGACATCTATTGCCTTTAACTCTCTTCACTCAATTTACAAATCAGAATAAAATTTTTACAATCCCCCAGTTCAACTTGTTCAAGTTCAACCATCCTGCTGAAAACCATTCCCATCACAAAAAAAGATAATTTCCCATTGAACATGTTGTATAATTATGAATGAATTGACTTAAACCTATTATTATGTAAATAAGATGGATAAAATTGATAGAAGTATGGAAATTCAATAGAAAACATAATATAGCACACGAATTCAGTGGTACACTGAGACTAAAGTATATGTTAACATGTCCAGAAGTTTTATATGTCAACAAGAGTTATAAATATCTCACACAGGGCTTCAGAAATGACAGGTAATACTTAATGACTTATATGAAAGTCCACTGATATACAGGTACATTAAAATCAACAACTGTGTACAGTAATTGGTGTGTAAATTAATAATACAACACCGATAAAATCTGGACATTAACAGCTAGGGGTTCTACGAGTTGAATTTGGACCAGAAATCGTCACATTAGGGATTGATCTAAATCTCAGCTTGGGGCTAACATCACCTGACGTAGAGTGGCCAGTGTACTTCCTCTAATAACAAACTCAAGTAAATATCAACAATATAGACCTAATCCACTTTCCATTTTGGAAAAAATAGACCATCAGAAATATTTGCCTTCAGCAAATGGAGTTGATGATGATGCAGAATACAGAACAGTCTCTTTTTCAAGATTAATTTGCATACATGTATTTAAATGTTTCTATTGAACAGGTATAATCAATTTAAGGCATTTAAGGCATTCAATATTATATACAAGTGACTGAAAAATGAAGATTGCACATTGTATTTAGTATAACCATATAACATCTATTTTGACAATTGTATATTCTGGTATGAATTAGCTAGCTAGATTATACAATTTATTAAGACTTGGTTAACCTGTAGGCACTTTTAATAAGCTGATATATTTTTTAAAAAGTGCATATTTCTGTAGAATTTATGAAATTATACATTTACATGCAATTGCAGTTCACAAATAAAGAAATAATAATATTATCCATCTCCATGGGTTCAAGGAAAGGTCATCAGATGGTACTAGTAACTAGAGTGTTTTTATGACCAAACCAGTCAATTTATTTCAATTTAATTTAAAGGGAAATGAGCTGTGAAAAATGACCTTGAAAAATCAAACTTAAATCACAGTCAGAGGGTTTACATGTTCTGCCTCCAGCAGGTTCAGCTCCAATTTCTGTATTTCTTGTTTAAAATTATCTTGTTTATTTGGTTTTCCTTCAAACAGGATAAATGCAAAAATAACATTCTCAAAGGATTAAACAAAGATCCTACAGCAATATGGGGAAATATTCTGATAATGTATTAAACGCACGTATAAATTGAAGTGTATCTGAAAAATTTTATCTTGTTTGGAAAATCCAGAAGCATTATTTTGGTGAAAATGAAACTGCCTGCTTTCAAAAACAAATTTAATACAGTCAAACCTCCTTATCTTGAATTTGATGGGACCGCGAGAAAACTTCGAGGTATCAGAGGATTTGAGATATCGAGGGTAAAATACTTAAAAATTAAGGGGTTGGGACTTTCAAATCACTTCAACATATCCAAGGTATTCGAGATATAAGTGTTTGAGATATTGAAGTTCAACTGTACATGTACAACTAGTAGACAAAACTTTATACAAACAACACATAGACTGAAATTATAAAATAGATATTGAAATTAGTGTAAATTGCAAAATAAATTCATTAAAATACATAACAGATGTTTATAAGAGAAAGAGAGATAGTGACTTGTGAGGATGTCTGAAAAAAAGGTGTACTTTGTGTTTGTAGAACAGAAGGGAGGATCCGAGAGGAGTGTTTGTTGTCATTCTCCAGTTGAAAAGAATTCCTTCGCCAGTGATACACCTCCGACGTGCTGGAACATTCAGTAAAGGTGTCGCTCTCAAAACTGTCATGTCGCCCATCGTGCCAACGATCATATATCTCAAAGAGAAGATCATCCACAATGGATGTTTTGCGGTCTTGGTATGATAAATCAGTTACCAATCCAAATGAAGAGGACATTTCAAATTGCATTTGAAGATGCTCCCCACTTTCTAAAGAGAAAATAAAACAATTTTGTAATCATGGTAATGTTTGCAAAGGAATAAAACTCTATCTGTATATATTTACATGTGCTTGTTCAATTTTGAGGATGTCAATTCTTTCACCTGCTAAAAATACATTAGCACAATCACAGAGTAAAAGTAGATGTTTCTAGTAGCATAACACAGCATATCCATCTGGGTAGCGACAAACTACATGTAATTGATGAACATTTTACTATAACATAAAATGTGATTGTTAAGACACAATTTAAAATCTGCAGTGCCCAGTAAGAATCAATACATAAAAAATTAAAAAGCTTAATGTACAAAATTTCAACATCACCATTACGTCCGAGTTGCACAATACATTGTACATAATGTACTCATATGCAAAATGAACATCATTGTTCTTGCTAATGGAGTTTATAAATGATTTTACATTTTATCATGCTGGAATCTATATATGACAATAAAGACTAATCAACTCACAATATTGGCTAGTATTTCCTTTCAAAGTCATTTTTTTTTTCATATCAATAAGATCAACATGGAAACTAAATGCATGTTGACCACACTATTGTGACCTCACTAGTTTTCAGATAAAACAGAAGTGTCATAAATAATTTTAAACCACTGTCACTGTCTGATATATAATTTGCATGATCATTTCATTAAATTTAAAACACATGACTGCACACTGAAATCAGAAATAATCAACGTCCACTGAGTTAAAACTAAAGACACTTTGCAATGAAATGAACACCACACAGCTGTGGCAGTAAATAGGGTCAGTTCATTTATCTAAGCTGTGTTTTCAGTAACACTGCCACGGGCTATGAATACATTTAATATATTTGCAAGTTCAACATCACTACCACTGCATCTGTCAATAACGACCATCAACTCATTATGAAATGAATCAGCGTAGAAACATTTACTTTACTGTCTCAGTACATACCTTGATTTTCTAGTGCATTGCATTTTTACCTATTCCCGTGCAACAAATTATGATTTAATTTATCGGATAAGTTCATTCGTTGTATATTCCAAATTTCACGCTTCTTGCAGACTTGTTGGCAAAACATTGAAGAGTTCGCTGATTTTCTTACCTCCAATGATAAAGAGTTTTGTTTCACTTTTAATGGCGCGAATATTTGAAAACCCAAAGAAAATTCGATATCTAGTACACAGATACCTGATCTTTCATCAGTAAGTAGCAATCAAAGCTCTAGAACGAAAAAGTCCCATCCCTCTCTATATAAACACACATATTTCATAACAATAACTAAGTATCATATATGGTCAAATCAATATGTCATTAAATATAACACATTTTTTTAGTCTTAGCTTCAAAATTAAACACAACGCAGAACCAATTTTTTTTAACAATAGAAAAAACATGTGCATATATTCATAACCTTAAATTGATTGCATTTTTTTTATTTTATAATTTTTTTTTTTAAAAATGTTCCATGCTCCTGAAACCACGTCCCTGGGTGTACTTTTAACTAATCAAGAACTAATCTATAAGATATCCATATCACAGGAGATATTATCATAAAGTGTACTGCAAAAATATACTTTTCTTTCTTGGTTTTGCATAGGGTAAACTGATCGTAAGTCGAACATGACCGCGAGTCGAACGCATTTTAAACCTCACCTACACCTTTTGATAAACAATAAATAGTAGGCAACTCTTGATTATTTGTCTTCTTTTTTATCCATTTAATCAATTAGAGTTATCTTTTCTAATTCGAACTCTTCTGTAAATAGTTGTAGGTGCCGGGAAATTTGAAGGTGATTTCTCCAAATGTTCTGTCGTAAATGAATTAGCCATGTTGTTTCAAAGCTCCAAACATTTTCCAAATAAGCTAATCAATACTTTAAAAGACAGATTTATACCAATCAATATTTTTAAAAGCTGTGTTTATATGATTTTGGATACATAATTCGCAAAAAAATTAACCAAAGCTCATTGAATTAATATCGAAAAATGATATGGAGTCGAAGACCGAAAATGATCGCAAGTCGATCGGTGTTCGACACTAGAAACAACGATAAAAATACCGCAATTTATACAAGAGAGAATAAAAGCTTTATAAGGTTTATAAAAATTATAATATTATAGAAGAAAATGAATCAAACTCTTTCCATTAAAAAAACAAAACAAAACAAAAACAACAACAAAAAAACAAACAAACAAAAACAAACGAATGAACAAACAAACAAACCTGTGGCACCAGTACTTTAATTATTCCATGATTCAGATCACAATTTACTTGATCATTTTAACTGTAAACATCTAGTCGTAATATAGCAAATTTATATGTAGGCTATCTATTTTGGCAATTACGTCTAAAAACAAGTTTTAAACTTTGTGCAAAAATCCTTTTGCTGGGGAAAGGAGTTTTCTTTTCTTTTTATCAACAAATTTGTGAGTTGGATTTTTTTTTTAATGTAGTGCCCCCTCCCCTCTCTCTGGAAAAAAAATTCCTGGGTCTGCGCCTGCCAATGTTTTCAGTGCTCTCCAGAGCCCAATACATGTGGGTTCTTAATGCTTTATCCATTTACCACGACAGTTAAAAGACAAACAAAGATGAATATTTAATTAAGAAGATCTGACGCTCCGCAAGCACGAAGTATATTTTCGAACATATTTTACTGTAAACCCCTCCCCTAATTTTTTGCAGCACGGTAAAATCGCCCCGTTTTATGTAGCCAAAAAGCTTATTGTTGAAACAGTTGGACCCCCCCCCCCCCAACCGCATAAAATTTTCGAGATTGGATAATTACTTCTTTGTTTTTGCTGGCTCATGGCGCAGTCTACACAACAATTTTTTTCAACGCATGCCCGTCGGGCATCTCATCTACTACTTTTACCAAGTTTACATGCCCTACTCAAAATTTAACTTCATGAAATAAAAAAAAAATGCTGTCTTTACAGTGTATGAACCATTGTTTATACAAGAATGGACCAACAACCAAAAATTTCCAAGAATGAAAAATATTCTTTCGGGTGGTCAAGAACATAAACTTTTTATTGCTGGAATGCATTTCCGAAAATTTTGCAATGTATAGTAGTTTATCATTACGGAAAAACCTGCATGCAGTTTTTAACATACTGAATTTGGATTCCATGTGAAAATCCTACAGTGTAATTACAGTTTGTGTACACAATGTGGCATGATTATCTCGTGCATTTCAACAACAGTAGAAAGACGACAGGGATTAGTTAGTTACGCTTCATTGCATATGACACCTGTGAAATTGATTTCAAATGTGTATGCACTTCTTTGGTCAACTTATTTAGTATATATACTCCTCTGTTTTAATGATACTGTTACATTAGGTAATAAAAAATAAATTTCACCTATTTACTTGACTACTGACGGCATATTTATTTGGTACATTAAATACATTTATAAACGGCTGTTAAAAAATTAAAAGAGGTCAGTGAATCTACAATAAATAATAAATCTACCGAAATGTGATAATCATTGCTATTTTTGAAGAAATCTGAATTTAATAAACGAGTATTGAACAATTGAACATGTTGAAAAAGGGGGGGGGGGGGTAACGATAACTTCTGACGTAAATGTAATTTCTTTTTATTTTATTTACCGAGGTATTTTACTAAACTACTATTCAAATTTTCACACAAAAAAATCAAGAAATGCCAATTAGAAACAAAAAGGGAAAAGGATGTGTCATGGAATAAAATACCGTACACACTTTAATATCAGAAACGAAAGTATAGATTGCAATCCACTGTGTAAAATATTTTTACATAAAAGTCAGTCTACAATGGAGAAAACATTACACATGCCCAGCGGGCACGTGAATCTTCATTTCTTACATGCCCGCCCGCAATTTTACCAGGTCCCGGGCATCGGACTCCCGGGTTATTTCGAAGATTGATGGCGGGTGTGACTGGTCAACTTACTTCTCCTAGGCATCTGATCCCACCTCTGGAATTTCCGGGGGTTCGTGTTTTATATCCTTTTCACAGATTTGTATTGTCTGTAGATTTTCTTGAGATCGATTCCGTTCCCTATCTTCACCTTTTTCTGGTAGGTTGTCTTGAATCCCCCCCCCCCCCCTTTAAAAAAAAAACAACGATGCTGCAAGTATATTTGCGCCAGTTCCAGAAAAAAATAAGATTTGTTGAGATCTCAGGAAAATAGGGGCCGTAACAGAGGATTAACATTTGATTAAAGAAAAAGAAAAACGAAAGCTTATAGAGATAATTTGAATGGTTTTAAAATCCGCATGAAAGATTTAAAAATTTCTGAAGAAATAAATATTCAACATCAAATTTTTATGCAATTTTGTAAATCGTTTTATGTCTTCTGATTTTAAAATATGTCAAATTGAATTTGTTTCATGGCAAGATTGTTTAGATTGAAACTATTTTGCGTTGAATAAAGTAATCGAACTTTAAGAAAATTAGTCCTATCATAGAAAGTTGTGAAACTTCAAACAATAAATTGAGTTCTGACCACATAAATTCGCCTGAAATGAATACTTTAAGCATTCGAAATGTTACCTTAGAAAAGACTTCTAGTTGTAAAAAATGAAGATAACAAACAGTGATCGATGTCAAAAAAAAAAAAAGAAAGAAAGCAAAACGTTTTTTTTCTTTTTTGCCATAACTCAAATTGGGCTTCAAACATGTTCAACGGAGGATGAAAAAAAGAGAGACAAAGCATATAAAACTAGAAAAAAAAACTGAATACAGAGAGAAATAAGATAAAATCAACAGAAAAGGTGGAGGATCAATGAAAAATTTTGCCGCAAATTGATAATGTTGACTGAATGCTACATTACATGTATTACTTTCCTCCTTCAATTTAAAATTATTTCCAGTATTACCAACAACGTTTCACAATCTTCCTTGATATTAAAATAAATTTAATGAAAATCATGTCAAAATGTTTGGTATGAATCAAAATCTATCTATAAAAGAAAAAGACGAGATTAAAAAAAATCTTTTCAGAAGTTTGTCTATTTAATATGTTAATGTCATGAAAAGCAGTTCCTATTAACAATTATGTAATTCATGCGACTGGGAATAAATGGCGTTCGACTTCATATCTAGCCGTTCGACTTGTGGTCGAATGTGTTCGACTTATGATCTATTTGGTATCTCGGGCTTTTTCTTTTAATAACAATTGTTTCATTCAGTTGCCACAGTAAACAACACGCTAAAATGACGCTTTAGGCACACATTTCGATACATCTCTGGGTTTATGGCACGCATAATGTACCCTGTTGTCAACACTGTCGGTGAATATAGATAGGCGTTCGACTTGCGATCAGTTTACCCTACTAGTATAGGAGTGTAACGTGCAGGGAGGAGAAATGACAATCAAATTCGAGTTCTCGTTAAATTATGGTCTTGGGGCCTGGTTAGCGGTCTGGAACTGACAAAAGAGATTATCGGAGGAGTGATAAAGAAATATTAACAAGAGGTCTAGGGGCAACATCGCTCACCTGAGTGATTTGGCTAGGAAAAAGCAGAAATATCATTTCAGTATTTAAAAGGTTAAATATAAAAGTGGTTCGGGGGTGGGTGGGTACGTATGATTTGAAGAAACTTGAATCTACACTTCCTAATGATGCTTTTGAATTAATATGATACATAATGGCTTTGCTGTTCTTAAGATCAAAATTTTTATTGATCAATATATCCTTTATATTCCTTTGTATAAAATATGATCCCCTAGGTGTTATGGCCCTTCTATTCTCCTGGGGGACATGATTTGAACAAATTTAAATCTACATTACATGAGGACGCCTTTTTATTATCATGACCAATCATAGCTTTGCTGTTCTTGTGAAGAATTTTAAAGATTTTTCCTGTGTTCCTATGTAAAAATTTGATCACCCATTGTGGCCCCACCTAACCCCCGGTGGTCATGATACAAACTTGAATTTACACTACCTAAGGATGTTTCCATATGAATATGACCAATCATAGCTTTACTGTTCTCGAGAAGAAGATCTTTAAAGATTTTTCTTATGTATTCCTATGTAAAACTTTGATCCCCTCTTGTGGCCCCACC